ATTATATTAAGTTTCTTAAAAAGTGTTCTTACCATAAACACATTATCAAAAAAAAAAATTATATGGATGTAAAACTCAATATCGAAACAAATATCATTTTATCATTAACTTTTAACTAAATATTTTGTAAAAATCGAAAGAAAAAATATCAGAATTTAATATGTTCATAACAAACCATTCACATTGAATCTATACAACGTGTAGACAACGACACTCATTTTTATAATATTCTTTATACAAATAATATAACGATGATTTGTAATAATTAAATTATATAAATATATTTTTAATACAACTAACAAGTAATATAGAATAATTTCTAATATATTAATATAAAAAATTACAATTAAAAAAAGAATAACCCGCGCAATGCGCGGGTCTTCACCTAGTATATATAAATAAAATACAAAATGCATTTTATACACAAATGCTTACTTTTAATTATGGATGTCGTCAAAGTTAAATGGTTATTATACGAAATGAAAATAGAAGAGCCATTTTCGTCCATACAAAATGGATGGGTAATTTTCAGAATGCCCAAATAGATGGTTTGAATTTTCTATGAACGTGTTTGTCTTTTTTTGTCTGAAAGAATACAATTATGACACACATATATATATATATGTATGTATATATACGCAGTAATTCTTTGAGGGTGTAGGTGAACTGGTATTTAAAAAAAAGGACACCGATATTAAATTATAAATAATCTCCCTATTTGTCGAAAGGTAAAAAGCAACACACAAAAAAAAAAAAAAACAAATGTTACAAAAGGAAGTGAGTGATAAAGAGGCAACGTCTAAGAAAAATCAGGAAATAAATGAGATCCTTCTTTTTTACCTTTTTACTTTATTTATTTAGTAGTAAATACTGCTACTATCATTGAAAAAATATGAGGAAAATTTCCTGAATAATAAAAAAAGTTAAAATATACAGTAAAAAAAATTAGTAAAGACGATATCAGTGACTCGAAATCTGAATTACTCAAATAATAACCGATTCGAATTAATCAAATAACCGTTTTTTTTTTTTACTATGAGATTGATTGTCTGAATCTATCTAATGGAGAAGACCACCTAAGATTGGGTGGGCTCCACTGTGAACTGTTCATATTCCATGCTTTTATGTTATTCCTAATTTTAACTATCTTTTTTTTTTCTAGTTTGGTGAAGAGTCTACATTTTATGTTCTTGAAAATCTCGTATTTTTATTTTCATATTAGTTTCTACATTTATGATCAATCTTACATGAACTTAGTTTATAATATAACAGGCAAACTATATGATACATATTTAATTGGTTAATGATTTTTTTAAATTAATAATTGGTTTTTGTAATACATAATTAAAAATGGTGATTGGACAGGTTGACCACTCACTCGGTATTGGCACGTTACACTGTTACAGCCATCCGGATGTGTCGTCTTATGCTCGTAACTAACGACAGCTATATGACTCACGATTACGACATAATTAATTGTCCCTCTAACTTTCTCTTTTTAACATTAAATTACCCATTTAATTGAAAGAAAAAAATACTACTCTCTAAGTTTTTAAATAATTATCATTTTAAAGTTTTTCACACTTTTTATAAAATAAAAAAAAAATCTTATACACTTTTATTTAATATAGGTTAAATGATAAAAACTACATTGTTATTAAAATTTTATTAGAATTATAGTAGTTTTAATTAATGTTAAAATTAAATTTATTTTAAAAAATTATCCTGAAAAAGTAGAATAACATCTCTTTAGAAATAAAAAATAATTATTATAAAATGAAAAATATAATACTCCATCCGATTTCAATATAAATATAGCTTTAGAAATTATTTTTTGTTTTTAAATAGTAATCATTTTAGATTTTTTTTATCTAATTTTTAATAATAAAAAATATAAAAATATCAAATTTTAATAGAATATTAATATGGATATGATTTAATAAGGATATATATATTTTTTAAAAATTTATTTAAAAATTGAAGAAAAATTTAAAACGATATTTATATTAAAACGGACGGAGTATTTTTGTGTCTGATCCATCCATTAAAATTATCTTCTATGCAAACACGCCATATTTGTTTTCTAAATTTTGAAGGGAAGTTTTGATGTTTGCTTAAAAATCCATTGTTAAATAGTGTAATTAATACACCTAATTTTATTTTTTTAATAAAAATAAAATAAATGGTAATAGAATTTTCAAGTTTAATTAAAACAATGACCACTTCAGAACAACTTGTATTCTCTAATATCCAATCCAGTATAGAATCTAAAAAAAAATTGTTGGATCAATATATAACGCAATTAGGACATTGAAAAATACTCTCGATTGTTTTAATTTTTGGTGGTAATTAATAGCACGTGAGTATGTAAATAAATAGTAATAAGAATTATTGTAATTATTGCTCTCTTTTATGCATGAATACCTGTTTTGACACCAAAGAAAGCAACCAAGCAATATCGAGACCAAATGTGCTCTAGAATGCCTATAAATATGCAAAACCGAATAAAATGCACTAGACATCCTATATTAAAATGTTAATCTTCATTTGGTGAAAAGAATTCACTTGAATTTTTTCGATATTGTGAAAAATGTAGTTGAATTAAAACCCGATAAATTTTCAGATTATAAAAAAAATCTAATTAGAACTGGTGTTTTATATGAAGCGATCGATTTCCATACAGTTGTATTGTACGGATGATTAGTAATCTCGAAATATTTGTTGTGAAATAAAATATGTTATAATCAATACAAGTAAAATTTACAGGTTTGTATTGGTAAATGCTAACGCTATCACAAGCGGTCCATTATTTCTTTATTGCAAAAAGGTTATAACACCAATTTTTTTTTTTTTCTGAACCTCTCTAGTCATGGTAATATATTGTTATCTATTACACGATCCATTACGGAAATACTTTTTCTTTTTAATCACAGGCTGTCCTTTCTACGTAAATATGAATTATACGAGATGAGACGATAATATTTTTATCTATTAGACCAAGAATTTTCCATAATTTTTTCATTTTATAGAGCAAAACAAAATAAATAAGTAAAGGTGATATATATATATATATGTGTGGCTCATGTCACCTCGTTGGGCCATAAATCTTCCACTCGTAAGTTTTCAAAAGCTTCATACATTTTCTATGACATCAAAGCATTGGTGTGGACCACGTCAATAATGTCCACACACCCATTATATATATATATATATAATATATACACACACACATGTAAACACAATTATTTTGATGATCTCTTATACGTTATTATCCAATACAAGATCCTGAAATTAAAGTTTGCAAACTTAAATACTAAGTCGTAAATGACTATATAGAATCAAGTTATAATTGGAGTAATTATTTGTCCAAAGATATAAAATATTGGTATTATATGATCAAACCATATGTCAATAGGTTTTATTTTGTTATATTCTGTGTTCAACGAATTAATCAGTGAATTCATTGCATTTATGAATTTATTTACAAATAAAATCCACCAAACCAAAGAAAAATGACGACATTAAATGTACAGATTCTATTGTCTTTCACTAAACAACAACGGAGAGTTGAAAATTCAAATGCAGATAAGTTAATGAGATTTTTATGATAAAAAATGTGTTTATATTTGGAAGATTAATTTACACAAATAAGATTTATAATTCATACGAAATTTTGAAAAAAAAAACACGATATATATTCAACATAATATTGTAGTGTATAAAATAAATATAATATATGTTTTGGCACCACCGGCCACTGGAACGAACAACTGGTACGTTAGCTTAAAATAATTATAAACATTCCAAGTTGACTTTTTTATGCTATCGGTTGATAATAATATGAAATAAAATTTAATAATATCTTTGAAGTCCAGTAAAAATAGTCCACGTGTCTGTTTTGGAATAAAATTCGAGAGTGGCAGTTAATGTAATAATCCCAAAAAATCAGCCTATTTTTTGCCTCATGGCCAAAAAATCGCACAGAGAGGATCAACCAATGAGGGACAAACAGAAACAAAGTATCTAACAGCAAAATCCCAAATTGGTAATTATCTACAAAACCAGGGGCATTTATTTTCCCAACCGTACCTAAACTAAAAACCTCAAAGTTGCGTCGTCGAGCGGGACCCACATGCTTTTTAGACTGACCGAATTAATAAACAAATCGATGCTTAATTTGGTAATTATTTATTGTCATTATCAAACTTGTAATTTAGGGCAAAGATTTTGCCCGATCGTCTGGCTCGTTCTTATTTTTATTTTTATTTCATCCGAATTATTAATGTCGAAAAAAAACTGTAGAATAATTAGTAGATATTACAAGTCTGTCAAAATGAAATAAAAATATAATCGATGTTAGATAATATTGCAATTTAGTCTTCGACCGTACAATTTTCCCGTTCCGATAATTAATGGCAGAAGTTAAAAGACAGAGAGAGAATCTTTAAAAAAACTGTAGAATAATTAGTAGATATTACAAGTCTGTCAAAATGAAATAAAAATATAATCGATGTTAGATAATATTGCAATTTAGTCTTCGACCGTACAATTTTCCCGTTCCGATAATTAATGGCAGAAGTTAAAAGACAGAGAGAGAATCTTTGGGGCGAAAGAAATCGAACATTGGATTTTCGAGATTTTAGTTGTTTGATTACTTTGTACTTAATCACTAATTACCCACTAAAAAAGGTTTAAATTTAAATTTAACCAAAAAAAGAGAGAACTTCACTTTATCAAACTTTTTTTTTTATAAAAAAAATCCATTTGGTTTAAAAGTACATAGTTACAAAAATTCAATGAAATTAATTTTGTTTAAGCCTTAGATATTAATTAAATAAATAAGATTACATGGTGTGATAATTGAAATTAAATTTTGCGTAAAAAACCAGGAAAAATTTAAAGAGACCAGATGTTGACAAATTTCGCGTCAGTGTTGTGAGAAGGGTCTTTCGATTTTCTCTCTTTTTTCTGGGATCTCTCTCTCTCTAGAAACACTAAATCCCGAGATATGAAAAAGAATATAAATAAAAGCCATTATTCTTTTATTTGTTTTCTCCGTTAGAGAGAGAAGGGGGGGTTGGCCCAGCGGATCGAAGATGACGACGATCTGAGCTTTCTTCTTCCATGGAGTTTCGATTCCCTCGCATTTGGCTCCCTCTTGTTGTGTAATAAGCTCTCCTCCTCTTCGATTTTGGGGAAAGAGAGAGGAAAAAAAAACGTTCGATGTTATTTTTGTAAGTATTAAATCGGGAGCATTTTTTATTTATTTTTAATTTTATTTCTTTATATTGATTTTGGTTTTTCGATATAGTTTTGTCGCGGATTTGGGCGTGGGTTTCTCCAGATTATCCACGATGTGAAAGATTCTCCCATTCAATGAGCGATTCTAGGATGTGGGTCTGAGGTAATATTTCCATCCCCGATTTTATTATTTACTATCTTTCCTCTTTCCGTTTCTTCCTCCGCTTAATTTTCTCCAGGTTTTTTTTTTTTTAACATTTTTTGTTTTTGTGTTCCGATGATTTTTTGTTTTAATGGATTTTAGTGTGTTGTTGAGCGGATTAGGGTAGGCATTTGACTGGAAATGGATCCAGCTTCTGCGCTCTTTATACTGTTCATTGTACGGTGAATTTTGTTCGATTCCCCCTTTTCCCCCCCTTTTTGTTTTTCTCTCTACTGCTTTTTTTGGGTCTATGGGTTAGCGGGAGAAGTAATCTCAAGCTCCAAAGAGGTTTTCGTTAGATTTAGCTCTCCTGTAATGGCGGATTCCGTGTATAGTTTCCAGCATGTGTATCCATCTCGTTGTGCTGTATTCCCACATGTTGGGAATTTCTTGTTGCTATTACCATTTTCTTATTCTTTTTTCCTGAAAGTTCGAGCTGAATCCATGTCCCATGTTAGGGTTTTTCTTTCTGTTTTTTTTTCCTTTTCCTGCAGAATTCAAACTTGTCCGTTGCTATGAACAAGCCTCGATAATCTTGCTGTTTTTGTAATGTCTTTGGATAATTCCTTGCTTTGAAACTGATTGTTCGACCATAAAAAAAATGGGTATTGTTTGGATGATGTCTGTCTATCTGTATGTATGTATGTATGTATGTATGTATGTATCTGTTCTTGATGAATTATGTTACTGCGATTTAGGTTGTAGTATTCTTCTGTTTTACTGAATCTACTTATCCAGTTTAATGTTAACATTGTGTTGTCGTGTTCAAAGGAATGGGAGCAGCTGTCCACTGTGAAAGCTTGCATTACTCAATGAAGGATCTCAGTGAAGAATCAAACAGTACTTCATCAGTCAGACCCGTGGCAGATTCTCGCTCTGGTAACGAGATAGATTTCTTGAAACGGACGATGATTGAACAGGAGGCCGTTTTCAAGAATCAGGTATCGTGTATGTTCGTTTGATTCGTCGAGTTTCAATGGAATGGGCCGACCTTAATCTCGTTCGAAATGGATGCAGGTGTCTGAGCTTCATCGCCTATACAGAGTACAGAGGACATTGGTTGAGGAACTTAGACAAAACAAGTTGAATGAGAATCTGAATCAATCTGAGGGTACACCCGAAAACAAAAGTACTAAGCAGCATTTGCCTGGATTTCTCTCGGGAAACCTCGAAAATGGCGGGCTATCGATTTCAAGAAGCAGGTCTCGAGCTTGTAGTGTTGTTCCTATACAGAATGAGGTTAGACCAGTGAAAGTCGGGAGAAAGATTATCGATCTTCAGCTCCCGGCCGAAGAGTACATGGATACAGACGGAATCGGCGACCCACATGAACGATCGAAATCGGGAAAAGAATTCAGAGAAAAGCAGTTTACTGAAAGAGGCAATGGATCTTGTTTGGGTTTGAAGAAATTTAATGGCTTTGCTGATTTGAACGAGCCAGTTCATTGCCAAGAACTAGAGCCTGTTGCTTCTTCAAAGGATGTATATTCTCTCTACGGGAGAATCAATGGAGATGTACATGTCAAAGGTCATTGCTTGGAGAAAGATATAAGTCGAAACGGATGGATGGTTCTTGAAACAGGTGAGATTTCTCGATAATTCGTGGTTTTTACTATGATATGTTTACAGTGAATGATATGTTTCTATGTGTTATACAGGGCATGATAAAAGCAACCCATTACAAATCTTTTCTAACAATGCATTTCAACCTCGCGGCATGGCAAAATCCTCCGGAGAAACGACATTCCGTGAGCTTCCGGAAGTCTCTCGCTTAGTCTCGTACGACAGCCATGTGGAATCATCGAGTGTGGCATCGAGTTTTCCGAGCCCAAATGGCCATAACCCGAAATCTGTGCAACCATGGAACCACTGGCTTTCACCATGGGACAACCTCTCAGGTCAGACACTGTTGCCTGTTCATCAAGTGAATCCATTCTTGAATTGTAACACACAGGGAAGAACCAAACCTAGTTTCGAGATTTCGTGTCGTGGCTTCAATGGCGGATCCTCCTCTGCTCGCCCTAAGGAGGCTGTCTTTGGTTCCCACTATTCTAATCATTGCTCAAATGGGACAATATCAAACAGTCCTTTTGGTATGGCGGTGAAGGTTCAGGATCTAGAAAGCCTCCACGGGTCAAAAAAGCACGAAGAGCGTTCAACCGGGTTGTCCTGGCTGAAGCCTAAGCCTCGTTATACGAGTGAAATAACCGATGGCTTCTTGGATCTGAATGCTTCTATACATCATCAGTTCACTGATGAAACCGAGATGGGCGATGGTTTTACTAATGTGTCTCCTCGCAAGAGTTTGAAAACGGCCGACTTGCAGTTCCAGAGCAGTAGAAAGATTCTAGGGTTCCCGATCTTTGAGAAGAGTTCTGTTGTAAAAGAGGAGAAGCCTTCTTTCGTGACCTCTTCCATCTATATTAATGGCCGATCAATGGAAGAAAACAAGTCGGTGGAACGAGACCTCGATATCAACTTGCCTTTCGATGTTTCGGGTTCTGCTACTGACAAGGAAGAAGGTAAAAGAGCTGTCAGATTCAGACATCACATTGATTTGAATGTATGTGCTAGTGAAGATGAAGATTCTGGCCTGCCTTCTACATTAAGAGTGAAGGAGAAATCAATACCTTGGATCGATTTGGAAGCTCCTCCCGCTACACTCGACAGCGAGGATGAATCGGAGAAGTCGCCACGGAAGGGCGAAGACAGAAACTTTACGGATGAACTCAAAGCAGCAGCCGAGACAATAGTCGCTATCTCCATCTTGTTGTGTGATCATCCCGATGAAGCAGCTTCCTCTTCAACCGATGGTCATTTGAAAGATCCGCTCAGTTGGTTTGCAGACGCAATCATATGCGGCGATGAGATGGAGAAACGTATCGAAGCTGTTTCAGAAGGTAGGAGTGACCGCCGTGAAGAATGCTCTTCCGGAGAGTTTGATTACTTTGAAGCCATGACCTTGAGTTTAGTTGAGATTGAGGAAGAAAACTACATGCCCAAGCCCTTAGTCCCTGAGAATCTAAATTTTGATGAAACGGGTTTTCCCACCGCAATACCAAATCGTCCAAGAAGAGGACAGCCGAGACGGGGGAGGCCAAAACGGGATTTCCGAAGGGATATTCTCCCGGGGCTTACTTCTCTAGCGAGGCATGAAGTAGCAGAAGATCTTCAGATGTTCGGGGGGCTCACGAAAACTACAGGCTGTTCTTGGAATTCAGGAGCGGTGGCAGCACGAAAGAACTCAACCAGGGGTGGATCTAACCGTGGAAGAAGAAAACGACCAGTCGCTAACATTAACACAGACCCGGGTTACCCTTCGTTGACTCAGTCCATGAATGACAATGTACGAGTAGGGGGACCCGGAGATAGGAGCCTCTCGGTTTGGGGAAGGGCGAGTAGACGGCCGAGGCGACAACGATGCCCTGCAGGTAATAATCCCTTGACTGTGATCTTAACATGAATACTCGGGTTTTATGATCAAGAAAACACTTTACCATTCAAGATTCTGTCCAAAGCCATTGTTGTCCTGACGAATCTATAACATGTTTCTTCTCTTATTTATCTGTAATCTGCTTCGATAGATTTTGGAAGCTTCCAAGGAACTGATATATTCCCTCTGCCCCCGGAAAGAACTTGTCCCCGGCTCCGAACCTGAATACTTTGTTATCGATCTCGATAATGCTGTACCCAGGAACTTTCTTGAGACCCGAGTTTCTCATCGCAAGTCTTGTTTTCCGGGATTCTTCCCATTCTCCTTCTTCTGCGTATACATTGGACAAGAGAGTGTAGTAGCCAGTATCATTGGTGACGATATCTACAAGGTCAGATTTAATCGCTTTGATGATGTCTATTCTCCGATGGATACGACACCCGTTAACCAGAGAGCCCCAAATGGTAGAATCGGCGAGAAAAGGTATCGACTTTATGATTCTATATGCTTCTTCGAGGTTGCCTGCTCGGCTCAAAAGGTCGATCAAGCAGGCGAAATGCTCTGAGTTGGGTTTGATGTCGAATCTCTCCATCAAGTTGAAGTAGAACTTACCTTCTTCAACTGATCCGGTGTGACTACAAGCAGACAGAATGTTCATGAAGACAATCCCGTTCGGTTCGATCCCGGAATCCACCATCTGCTTGAATGTGGATATCACGGATTCGATCCGACCGTGAATCCCATAACTGTTGATCATACTACTCCATGACACTATACTCTTACCCGAGATTGTCCTGAAAATGTTTTCCGCCATTACAAGATCTCCGCACTTTCCATACATATCGATCAGAGCGGTATCGATGTAAAGATCATTGTTTATGCCATAGCTAATGAGCTTGTGATGAACCCATTTCCCCTTTTCTAGGTAACCCAGATTGGAGCAAGCTTGTATAACAGCCAAGAACGTTACTTGATTCATTTTGAGACAGTTGTAGTAAATTCGATCGAACAGATTAATAGCCTCTAAGGAGTTACCGTTCTGAGTTAATCCCCAGATCATCGAGTTCCATGCCACGACACTCTTTCGTCGGATTCGATTGAAAATAATGTAGGCTGAATCCACGAATCCGCACTTTGAGTACATGTTTATCAAAGAATTCTGGACAAACTCATCCGAAACGCATGTTCTCATGATGTGACCATGTATCTGCTTTCCATGGCTGATCAAACTGCCACCCTCGCAGGCCGAGATTGAACTTGCGAGAGCGAATGAGTCGGGCGTTATCCTTAGTGTCACCATCTGCCTTAACAGAGACAAAGCCCGAGTTTCGATACCATTTTGCGCGTACAAAGATACGAGAAAGTTCCATGATACGATGTTTCTATCTCCGACATTAAGAAGAACCTTCTCGGCATCACAGAATCTCCTGCATTCGGTGTACATCTGAACTACAGCCGGAGCAATGTACTCGTATTCCGGATCTATCCCTCTTCTAAGCGCAAAACAATGAACTGACTTGCCATCTCTAATCCGACCTAACATTCCGCAAGAACCCAAAACGCTATATAGGGTTACTGAATTTGGGTCTACCTCGGTCTTTACCATGCTGGCGAAAGTTGTTAATGCTTCTTCGAAACGGCCGGCTCGATTGTAACCAGAGATCATGGATGTCCATGAACCAGTAAGGTTGTTGTCTGCGATGGCGAAGAGCTTCTCTGCACTGAACAAGTCACCGCATTTAGTATACATTGTTAGGACAGAGTTACCCAATGATTCACCCAAATCCAACATTTTCCTCGTTAAGTAGCCATGGACTGATCTCGCCATTTTCAGGCATCCTAGTTCAGCACAACCCTCGACCACACTGATCATCGTCACTGAATCCGGGTCGAATCCATCTTCGACCATACACCGAAACATTTCCAATCCTTCCGTCACTTGCAGATTCTCGACGTAGCTAGAAACAATGGTGCTCCACGCTACAATGTCTCTCACGGTCATTTCATCGAACACCTTCTTGGCATCGTCTACGCGCCCGGTTTCGCCGTACATGCAGAGCAGTGATGTCTCTATTACGGCATCATCGTCAACCCCAGCTTTGATAATCCTCGCATGGAGCTTCCTACCAACAGCCAGATTGCCTGAACCGGCACAAGCCCTCAAAACCGAAGGGAACACGAACTTGCTCACGTGGGTCCGGTCGGAAACCAACCTGTGATAGAAATCGATGGCGTCCTCCAGAAACTGGCACCAGACGTGGCATTTGATGAGGACGCCATACATGAAGGAATCTGGGTAGGGGAACGCTTCGAAGACGAGCCTGGAGGAAAGGGGAGAGCCCATGAAAGAGTAGGATTCGATGAGCTTGGTGACCGGCTGAGGATCGTGACGGAGGCGTCCGGTGACAAGAAGGTGGGAATGGAGTTGGGTCAGCGATCGTAAACTCGTGCATGATCTGAACAATGGCATGTACTGCGTCATGGCACGAGTGGGAAGAAGAACTCGAATCACTTCTGTCCGAAGAAAAAAAAACACCTTGTGAAACAAAACTGTTACATACGAAATGAATTAATAGACGAGATCCCAGATACGTATATCATACAAATACATATTAAAGCTAAGAGACACTTATTCGCATCAGAAGAAACGAAAGAATGGAGGATCTATGTCACATAGAAAAAGCAACAGAGCTGAAAGCCAATAACAGATGGTTCTTGTTTTTCTTTTCTTTTATGGCCGTTGATAGACATATTTTGTTCTTGGATCCACGATCAGACCTTTTCCTCCGTTCACTTCCAAATCATGCCTGCCAATTTCACACGAAACCCATCAAATAAATTGCATCAAAGATGCATATTTTGCGAAAAAGGAAGAAACTTAACTGGAAAACGAAATCTGGGATCGTCAGCTGCTCACGGGGAACGTATTTGAACAGCTGCAGAAGCCGGTCAACGTATACAACCTTCTTCCAGACCTGATGAGAAGAAAGGCGATGTGTGTATAAAAGGACTTTGTTACTTTCTGCGGAAAAGGTTGAGACTTTGGAGTATTTTTAGACTCACCACATTGTTCACAAGCATCTGTAGTGCAAAGACTGTGGCTTTCAAGTGGAAGGTCGGGTGAAGAACATAGATAGCCTGGAAGGAACAGTGGAGGAGATAAAGACTATGATGGTGAAATCTTCCGGAGGAGATTGAATGGTTACAAATCACACACCTGAAGGTTATGCTGGTGTTTCCGACCAAGTATTTGTTGCAATCTTCTCATCCATCCTAGATCCGGTTGGCTGTCCATCGATATTGCAACATGCAAAGAGAAAGAAAAAAAGAAGAAGAACGAGTTATTGCAGTTCCGACAGCAAAAATGGTCTTTTCCCTCGAATCAAAACTAAGAAACTTACAGTTGTAAGGAAGCCGCAGAATGGAAGTAGACAATAGTGTAAGGCTTTTGTATCACAGGTTCGAATTCCTGCAAGTTTGTAACAGTACTTTCATATTCAGAAATTGAATACTAAGCCGAGAAAAGACGGTGCCTTAGATTACATACCTTTACAACATAAAGCACAAAACGCTCAAGATCAAGACATCGGAGCAAAAAGTGTGCTCCTACAACAACCATTACAGGACGGCCCTCACTGTCAACACCACCACGGTAGCTGAGGAAAGAAAACATCACTTGCTCAATGCCTTGTTAGATTCATGAACTATGCATCCATCTGTCACTGGATTACGGAGATGGAAGTGAAAGTATGCAGGCAAAGACCGAACAAACAAAGGTTATGGGACATAGGGCACGTACACAATTTTCATCTCTGCGATTTCCGAAAAGTTAAGAGCATTAGCTTTAGCAAGGTATCGTGAATGAAGTGAGTATTCCTCTGCAGCAGAAAGAGAAGGTCCACCAAGATCACCGAATCCTAGCAATTTAACAAAATTGAATCCACTTTGCGCTCTTGCAGTTTTCTCCCATTGCTCTTTACGCCTCTCATCTGGATCTTTAATCAAGGACATGAAGGTGGGATCCAAGTATGAATCCAGAAAATGCGAGTTCCTGAAATTTATATCAGTTATCAATCAAGGTTTCTTTAACGAATAATTCAAAACAGAGAGATAAGAAAGTGCAAAAATTGAAGCAGAAAGAGTCAACACCAACCTTCGTACCAAGGCGAGATCAGTGACTGGACGTTCAACTGGGTCTGGGGCTGCTTTGGTCTTAGGTTTATTTGGCAGGGCCTGTATTCTGATTTTACGTTCGTCAACAGCCGTCTCCCCATTTTCATCCCCAACATCAGCTGGGAGCTTTGAAATGGCAACCTCTTCCTCATGTTTGTCTCGAGGAAAATAAAGTGGAAGTAATCTACATTTTAAAAGTAAAAAGGTTAATAACTATCCACGTAAAATCTACCACATGAGGTCTAAAATTAGACATTATGGTCTTACATAAATAATTGCAAAAGCAATGGCGATGCCCAGGTCTCCATGAACCACGAAAAAAAAAGTTAAGTGATAAATTCTTACGACAGAGCTAGCTCCCGTTCTCGTAGAAACCCATTGCAGGGAATTTAGGGTACCTTTTATATATCTCTGTATCAGAAGATGTCGTGGTACAGAAAACAACAGCACTGATTTTATCCTTCTGTTTCTCTAGAAACCGACGAACAGTCCCTGAATGGAAGCATACAACCCAATGGTTGGAAACAGTAACACCAAAATCAGGGCACTCTAGTAATTGAGAAAGTATCTTACTTATGGCAACATGAGCAGCTGGTTCCCGGGGATAGTTTTTCGCTTCTGTGTATATACAGCCCATAGCAATGCTGCAACGTTGTGCGTGTGAACCAATGCTAAGTTTTCGATTTCAGCAAACATAAATACACACAAATGTCTCATCACAAACCTTTGAAGCCCATTGTCAATCAAAATCTCCAGACACGATCTGTAGCAGTGACTTAGAGCATTCTCAGCGGCTGTATGATACTTTACAGCATACTTGGGACCTACTGTATGGATAACCTTCCTGAAAAAATAAACAACGAGTATTCATTGAAACGGGAATAGGAAACTAAGGCATGAATCTACTCCACGAGCAAAAATACGAATTAAACAGAATCTTTGTTATTAAAGAGACATTGGGCCTTCCATCCTAATATAGGGCTCCCACTTTTGTGTAGATTCAAGGGGAACACAGAAATTTCCTCCTCTAGGAGTATAATAGCATTCTTTTAAGCATTTATCTGCATCATGGATGGTTGTACACATGTACCCACCTCGCAGGTAAGTCATAGGCATTTGTCACTTTTGCCATCCCAGTACGACATCCGCCCTGTCGAGAAAGAATGAGTATGATCAAGTGAATACCTTCTTTCATGCAGCCATCTTAAATATGATAATATGCAGCATGAAAATCGAAAAGATAAAAAAGAAAAATCTACCAAGGTAGCACATTCTTCTGCAAGGCCAGGTCCAGCAGCGGCATGCAAACCAGGACTGCTATGCGCCTCATCCAAATTCTGTCCTCCAAAATGCAAAAACGACGATATCGAAAAGCGCATAAAGGGGCATTACCCAGTAGGTAAGATCAATTCCGATTTCCCGTAAATCTTCAGCTTACCTCATTTGTTGAGTTTACGACTGCATCGACCTCAAGGATCCATGGTTCTCCTCTCCACAAGTATATTTTGGAGTTTATCTCGTGATCAACCGGAAACTTGGATAACATCCCATTTCCATTTCCGCTACTTTCCGCCTTAGAAGATGAAGCCAAAGGGTTTGCAAAGCACGAATTAGAAAATACCGAATCTCCTCCGGTTTCACATTCGAGAGAAGACCTCTGCTCGACATCACTCCACCTGGGGATTTGATCCAAAGTCACAACGTAATCACCGCTTTCCGTCGGAGTTCCACCACGGGAGGTTGTGGCTGGGGGCACAGG